TGAGGATCTACTCTGGATACTACTCATAGCTACATACTAACCCACTACTACTAATGCTAACTTGCTGGGCAGCTATGGCTGCATCACTTCCAGCATACAGGCTTCTCCCTTCATTCAGCGCATCCTCTCCTTCCAGCGCTGCTCCTACTGGCTCAACGCACAAGTGCACCAGCACTTCCACGCATACAATGCCAGTGGAGATCTGGCGAGGAATGAGGCTGGCTGCCTCCTTTATACTCCTCGCTGGGCCAGTAGAGTCCCAATGAAATTCAACTGCTGCTGAGGCCTCCCGGCCTGAATTTGGACTTGAAAGTCTGGATCTGGACTGACCCCTGGACTTAGACCAGAACTGGGACTGTGCCTATTGACTTTACTTTCGGACAGGCACAACTCTCAACGAACAGACATTTACTGCTTGAACAGACACTTTACTTTGCACCAACAGGTACACTGCCTGTACATACAGACACACCCTTACCCGAACAGACATGACATACACATCTCCTGGTGAACAGGTAAGTCTTTTGATAATGCCTTTTGCCTTAGCTTTAGATACGCCTGTTGATAGAGAGCTTGACCTTTGACCTGCTTTCACGTTTCTGAGCTCTGGCGAGATACCTTTTCACAATGCTTTACTTTTTCAAGGCCCGTGCTGCTTTATTTTACAAGGCCTGAGGCCTATATCGGGTAAAGGCCCTTCTAAAGGAGTCCATCTTGTGTGTTTTAAATTTTAATGATGGGTCCAAGATTGATACTTCCTTTCGTATGATGAGGCCGCCAGAGGAGTTCCCCTGAGCCTTTCGCACCTCAAGCCAACTCTTCAGAGGATTTAGGGTTTAGGGTTTGGACAGGGTGGAGAGGCACAAGATTTACGCTTGGGCGTAAGCGAAAATCCTTGTCTATTTTCAGAGCAATTTGCTGCATAGGTAGGTTTCAAAGGCAAATCGTGCACGGACAAAGAAGGGAAGGGGTGTCCGGTGAAGAGGCGGAGGCAGAGAAGTTTTCTGCCGCGACTCTCTGCAGCGTCGTTTATGGTGTCAAAGGGATGTCTGCAGTTTTAGTATCTGTAGGGAGAGCAATGTTGCGATTTGTTACGATTGCTCAAATCTTTCTTTTTCTTTTTTTCTTCCTTTTTTTTCTTTTTTTTTTTATCTCCCTTCCCGTGATAGTGGTGCTGGTAAGAGCAGACACCACTAGCACCTGAGGAGAGGCTCAAATCTTATGTATCATATCCAATCATTTGGGATGCTGGGCCCAGCTCTCAGTTAGGTGTTGTGATCGGGACCCGGACTCAGAACCAGAGGCAGCACGGAGTGCCTAGACACAGTCTCCCGAAAGTAACAAACAAGAGGAGGTTGCGACACTCGACATATTCGGAGAAATGTCAGCCAGCTCTAGCGGTGAGGGAGTGCATGACGGCCATGTTAGGGCTGAGAAGAGGAAGGAGAGAGGAGCATCCAAAGTATGCTGCTCCGCACCAGTGGCAGCCATAGCTGCGGTTGGTGAAAGAAGGGTGGCGCTGTGTCGCAGTGATCAGGTAGAAGGCCAGCAGTGGGAATTGGTGATACTTTCCGGGTGGAGGCCGAGGAGCACGCATGTGTTTCACACTCTTCAGCATCATTATCATCAAGAGAGAGAGAGAGAGAGAGAGAGAGAGAGAGAGAGAGAAGGGGAGAGAGAGAGAGAGTGAAAGAAGGGTGGCGCTGTGTCGCGGTGATCAGGTAGAAGGCCAGCAGTGGGAATTGGTGATACTTTCCGGGTGGAGGCGAAGGAGCACGCATGTGTTTCACACTCTTCAGCATCATCATCGTCAAGAGAGAGAGAGAGAGAGAGAGAGAGAGAGAGAGAGAGTTGGGAGAGTGAGTAGAGGGAGTGGGATAGTAGTATGGGCGGATGCATCATAGTAAAGCTACCACATTGTCATTATATGTGGACTCTTGGAGGCGAGAAGTGGGGATTTCTTTGTCAACGATAATGGGGCAGTTTCCTACCGTCCACCCTCGATCAGACTGTACTTTCACTTTGGTACCTGTATTTGGGGCAACTTTCAGTCTAGAAACAACCATGATAACGACTCCACGTTCTATTTGGGAGAACATGGTAGTAGCAAGGCTTTCGAACCCCGTGGACACCAACTCGCTGCTGATGTCATGGCAATCCTTGCAGGAGAACCGATTGAAAAAAAGAGGGCCAAAACAAAAAGGGATAAGTTGAGAAAAGTGCTGTAACAGTTTCAACTTCAAGTTTTGCACGGCAGTTTAAACTTTAAACAGCAGGCTGTAAAAGGCTTTGTTTATGGCAAAAAAAAAAAAAAAAAGAAGGCGTTTTGGATGGAAGACCCAACGGCCTACTGTGGCCCAAAACGTTGGATCCTCTGGAAAGCCAAAAGAGCCTGCCAATTTCAGTGCAAAGAGGGGACACAACGAACAGGACCGTTCTTTTTTCAAACTTGTGCCCGGCACTGCCTCCTGCCCCCCCCAGCACTCTCTCCACACCCCACCATCTCTCTCTCTCTCTCTCTCTCTCTCTCTCTCTCTCTCTCTCTCTCTCTCTCTCTC